AAGAAAGGTTTACTTGGGGGAGAGAAGGAGAAGACAGAGTCCGCCGGGATTCGCCACCGTCTTCCACCGTGAAGTCTTAATTCTCCGATCTAAACTTCTCTCATCATTGCCGTCGTCTCCCTTCTTTGATTCGCTTTCTAGGTTTCGAAAAAGTAGTTTCCATGGGGACGAAACCGTGGCTACATCCAGCTCCTCAGTACAAATCCCTAGAAACTTTTTGGGACGAAGAAGATGACGCTCCAGGTCCTAGATGCGCTCATACACTTACGGCGGTTGCAGCTACTAAGACTCACGGCCCTCGTCTTATTCTCTTCGGCGGCGCCACCGCAATTGAAGGCGGGAATTCTTCCGTACCTGGGATTAGTAAGTTTCTCCGATTGAAGTTGAAATTTCGAGATTTTTCTTTCTTGGGTTTGATCTCGAGGTCCCTAATGCTGCTGGATTGTTCTTGTATTGGTTGTTTTCTAGGGTTAGCTGGTGTAACCAATACGGTGCATTCTTATGATGTTTTGACTAGGAAATGGACAAGGTAATAGAGCATTCTTATCTTCAGTGTTGAGATTTTGTTGTTTTGGTTTGGTTTACTGTTTTCTTGAAAATCCACATTTGGTTTGATGGAATTGTGTAGGCTTAAACCGGCTGGTGAGCCTCCGTCTCCTAGGGCTGCTCATGCTGCTGCTGCAGTTGGCACCATGGTCGTTTTTCAGGTGATCAGTTGATTAACCAATGTGAAAATCTTTTGGTTAACAGTTGGAATTGTGCATACTTATGTTTGTTTCATTGGCAGGGTGGAATTGGTCCGGCCGGGCATTCTACTGATGATCTTTATGTTCTTGACATGACTAATGATAAGTACAAGTGGCACAGGTGAAGGATCCTTTACAAATTTCTCAGTTCCGTCTTCTTTGATATCTATTTTATTGATGAGAAAGTGTTGTATTTAATGCGTATTCAGGGTGGTGGTTCAAGGGGAAGGTCCAGGCCCTCGCTATGGTCATGTTATGGATTTAGTTTCTCAGAGGTATCTTGTTACAGTCACCGGAAATGATGGTAAGATTATATCTGTCTTTCTAGATGCTATGCTATTGATTTGTTACCAGTCATTTCATAAGCCTTAGCTTCAGGATTTCTATTTACGGTAACATGTATCAAATAGCGTAGTCATATGAGTTAGAACATAGTGAAGACATTGCTACTTAGATATGTGTATGCATTTTGCTTTCGACCTATATAGTGTTATTCCCTGGATTTATGTTTTTACATGGAAACTTGAAGTTTTCATTATTCTGTTACTTTCTTGAAGAATCCAAATATACTAAAAAAAATAATTGTCCTTCTATGTATGGAATAGGGAAACGAGCTCTCTCTGACGCTTGGGCATTGGATACAGCTCAGAAACCATATGTATGGCAGAGATTGAACCCTGATGGTGACCGACCAAGTGCTAGAATGTTAGTGATTTGTCAATCTGAATGTCTATTGTTGAACATCTGTTTCTTCAACTCAATTTTCATATATCGATATTTCTACACAGGTATGCAAGTGGCAGTGCTCGTTCTGATGGCATGTTTTTACTCTGCGGTGGAAGAGACACCTTGGGAGCGGTATACTTTCCGTCTCCGGTTTTTTTTTTGTGTTCAGGAATCAGTAGACTTCTTTTTCTAGGATAGGGATAGATAAGTTACAAACATCTCCATTATTGGAGCTTGGCTTTTGTTGTTATGAGATCTCAATTTTAATATGTTTATTGTCTTTATGAATTCTGGGATATTCCCTAATATGTCAGTGCATCTGCAGCCACTGGGAGATGCTTATGGGCTACTAATGCATAGAAATGGTCAGTGGGAGTGGACTCTGGCTCCAGGCCTAGCTCCTTCTCCAAGATATCAACATGCAGCGGTAAACCAAATTTTACTCTAGTTTCAACACGTATGAAAAATAAGTGTCTGAAGCGTAGGCTTATTCAAGTTTCACAGAAGACTGCACATTGTAGCCTTAGAAACTGAGTTGACTCTTATTTGCCTTTAAGATGAAATTATTGATGAGGCGTTGGACATTTAATTACAATACAGTGCTCTAATCCTAGCCATTGCAATGCATTCCTTGATTGTTTTTCTCATCAGGTTTTCGTAGGTGCAAGATTACATGTCAGCGGGGGTGTTCTGAGAGGAGGCCGCGTAATAGACGCTGAAGCATGTGTTGGAGGTACAGTTCAATGGTTATACCTTTTAACGTTTTATGTGATTATCTTATTTCTTTTGTTTGGATTTTGTTTCACATGCCTCTCCTCGAGACAGTGGTCTACTAATTTTCACAGAATGCATTGCAATAGAGAAGCTGGATTTTTATTACCTCTTATCTAGTTTTGCTATTGGTAATTATATGGAATCTTTCTTCTTGCAGTGCTTGATACTGCTGCCGGTGTATGGTTGGATAGAAATGGGCAAGTGACTTCTGCACGCGGCACTAAAGGACAAATTGATCAAGATCCGTCTTTTGAACTTATGCGACGCTGTCGCCATGGTGCTGCATCAGTTGGCATCCGGATCTATGTACATGGTGGCCTTAGAGGAGGTACCCTCATATTTTTATTTTTGTACAACAAGATTTGTATGTTTATTGCAATAATAATACTTTAGTTCTATGGTTTTTCTTATCCTAGCCAAGGTGATCTTGGGAAGTTTTTTGCTGCACACCTTCGTTTCTCTTAGTTCAGTTAATATCTTTCATAGTATGACCATTGTGGTAATTTTATCTCCGCGCAGATGTGTTGCTTGACGATTTTCTAGTGGCTGAAAACTCAACATTCCAGTCAGACATCAGCTCTCCTTTGTCAGCATCAGATAGAAGTTCTACTCCCAGGTTTTCTTATGCCGCACGACCTCCTTCAGGCTCTGATTCACCACTCTCCATGTCTGAGGGACTGAGGTCTATCCCATTTCTTACAGTCTTTTGGTTTTTTGTACTTCACCCTATCTAGTTGTTCAAGCATTACAATATTATTCTTTTCTCCTTAACAATATCAGCTTGGACGATGATTCCTTGGAGAAATTGACGGAGGCTTCTGCAGCTGAAGCAGAGGTAGCTAGTTCTGTTTGGCGAGCTGCACAATTAGGATCTGCTTCTCTGGATGAAGAACCCTCTACATCTGATGCCAGATCGCCAACAGTAGTAACTACTACTGATGGTACTGAAACTGAAAGAGATGTCAGGCTTCATCCTAGAGCTGTATGTTAATCCCTAATATTAAATTTTTCTTTTGTTTATATTGCACTTTTATATAATGTTTCTGTCTTTCATACCTTGTGTTGCTTACTTTAGTATAGTTCTTAAGATATTGTATGCACCTACTTGATTACGAATAATGGCTTACTATTTCATTTTATAGGTTGTGGTAGCGAAGGAGACAGTTGGCAGTCTGGGCGGCATGGTAAGACAGCTAAGCTTGGATCAGTTTCAGAATGAGAGCCGGCGGATGGTTCCCATGAATAATAGCGATGTGCCACAACCCACCAAGAAGTTCACGAGACAGAAGTCTCCTCAAGGCCTGCATAAAAAGGTATGATTCTTCTACAATCTGCTCATCCTCCTGGACATATCACTGTGAATATCTATTTATATGTTGTTGCTTGCAGGTCATTTCTGCTTTATTGAGACCTCGAAACTGGAAACCTCCCGGCAATAGGAAGTTTTTCCTGGATTCTTACGAAGTTGGGGAACTCTGTTATGCTGCTGAACAAATATTTATGCATGAACAAACGGTTCTTCAGCTAAAAGCGCCTATTAAAGTCTTTGGCGACCTCCATGGGCAATTCGGCGATTTAATGCGGTTGTTTGATGAATATGGATTTCCCTCAACAGCTGGGGATATCACGTAAGCTTTATGCAAATGATGAATGATGTGAGTTTTTCTCAAATATAGTCACTGAACTATTAAATGTATATGCCTCAGGTATATTGACTACTTATTTTTGGGAGATTATGTTGACCGGGGGCAACACAGCCTGGAAACCATAACTTTGCTGCTTGCATTGAAGGCAAGACGGTGCCTGATTTCACATCACTCATATTACTAGTGTCATTCAAATTGTGTTTCTTGGTTTATGGTTCTGAGATATCCCTGCGCAGATTGAATATCCGGAGAATGTTCACTTGATTCGAGGAAATCACGAGGCTGCTGACATTAATGCACTATTTGGTTTTCGTCTTGAATGCATAGAAAGAATGGTACATGCCTCTCTGCAAGTTTATACGTTGTCTTTGCTGCTAGCGTTTCTGCTTGGCTTAAGCCTGCTCTATACTTGTACTAGGGAGAGAATGATGGGATCTGGGCATGGACAAGATTCAATCAACTTTTCAATTATCTTCCCCTCGCTGCACTCATCGAGAATAAAATTATATGTATGCATGGTGGAATTGGGAGGTCAATCAGTTCGGTGGAACAGATCGAGAAGATCGAGAGGCCCATAACAATGGACGCTGGATCCCTTGTTCTAATGGACCTCTTATGGTAATACGTCCTATCTTCTCCTGCTTTATATATCGAACACTATTTCTTCCACTACAAAGTCATAAATATAATTTTTCCATGTACAGGTCTGATCCCACGGAGAACGATAGTATTGAGGGTTTGAGACCAAACGCCAGAGGACCTGGTCTTGTCACGTTTGGGGTAATACACCTTTAATCCCCAAAATTTGTTTCTTTTCACTAATACCATTTTTTGGTACCAATCGCTGAGGGCGTAATCTTGTTATCGCAGCCTGATAGAGTCACAGAATTCTGCAAGAATAATAAACTACAGCTTATTATTAGAGCCCATGAATGTGTTATGGATGGATTCGAAAGATTTGCACAAGGACAGTTGATTACACTTTTTTCCGCCACAAATTATTGCGGTGAGGAGAAGCAAAAATCTGTCAAAAACTTAATCTTGTATCTATGTTTTGTATTCTTGGATAAGCTTGAAATCAAATTATATTAAGAAGATTTGTGATACTTTTCTAACAGGAACTGCGAACAATGCGGGAGCTATATTGGTGGTTGGCAGAGGATTGGTGATTGTTCCTAAGTTGATTCATCCTCTTCCACCTCCAATTTTATCTCCAGAGAATTCTCCAGAACATTCAGGGGACGACGCTTGGATGCAGGTACCAACACTTTTACTGCTTGACCTTGTCATAAAGAGAGTGTCTTTTGTTTTAATCCGAGAAAGATGGGAACAAGATGAGACAGGAGAGTTTATGTAGCCATGTATTTAGTTCTATCTATGAACCAGCCAGGCACTGAACCCAAAAGTACATTTTTTTCTCTGTTGCAGGAGCTGAATATACAGAGACCGCCAACTCCAACACGAGGCCGGCCACAACCGGATTTCGACAGAAGCTCACTTGCATACATCTGAATCTGTTTTGCATTCCCGTTTTCTTTTTCACAATTCATGGGGTCAAATTGGAAGCAAAAAGACATTGGATTTATACAAAGTATAGCAGGATTTGTTGTTAAAAATATTTGCAGTGTTCATAAGCTTCCGCACATGTGTAATATATAACCAACTATACCAAAAGAATGAGAATGGTATAGTAATTTTTTTCTTTCTTTTTTTGGTTTCTTCCCTATTTGCTTTCAAAAAGAAACTCTTTAGTGAGATGCAATATGAAGGTCTTGTGTGTATGGTGTACTCAATAAACAAAAAACAAATTACTACATGACAAAAGCATATAAATCATGCATCACACAAGTTTATTACATTTTGGCAAAGTTGATGTTTGGAAAGCAAATGTTTCAGATGGCACAGAAAGCTTGGAGAGTAGATTGAGCTCTACGACCTTCTTCTGAGTGAAAGAAGTGAATGTAATCGTTGTACACAAAGGGTTTGAACATACGTGGATGTTCTTCGTCAACAAGTTCTTGTGGTGAATCTATGATAACTTCTGGTTTTGGAACCGAGAACAACGCGCTCGAATACCTTTTCTTGTTCACCATGACTCTGTGATTTGGTGAAGACAATCGACCATTCAAAAGTGCCTGCAAAAATCAAAAAGTAGATGATTATGATTATTCTCTACTTCAAATTAAGTTTGTATTATTGAAAAGGAAAATGTTGGAACTTACACATAAAGTGTCTCCAACCATAACAAGGAAACGACCTTGAGATGGTTTCACTTTGATCCATTTTTCATCTTTGGTTTTCACTTGTAAGCCATCAACTTGATACTGATGAAGTATTGTGATGAAGTTTGTATCGGTATGAGAACGTAAACCTTGCTTCGGCTCTTGTTCTTCATCATCAATAGGTGTATACTTCATCATTCGAAAAAGGTAATTCGTAGAATTCAAATGTTCATCAATATATTTCTCTATCCCAAAACTCTCCGCAATCATTCTTCTCACCATAACATCCACTTCCGATAATTGCTTCGAAAATTTATGGAGTGTCTCACTATTTCAACACAAGAACTTTTGAGTTGATAAACCAATTTTTTTTAATAGAGCAATACCCTAAATTAAACATACTTTTTAAGTTTTTGTTTCAAAAATGAACTTGAGTCTTAAGGTATTTTTACTCCGAAATTATAATAGAGTCTAATTATAAATTGAACTTTGAGTCTCTTTATCATAGAGTCTCTCACTAATGGTATT